GTATCCATGTTTCCATCTGCAAGGGATCTAGTCATACACATTCCTGAAGAAAAGTGTAGCTCAGAGGAGTGTGTGGTTGAGATGAAAGAAGCAACTGTGGTTGGCTTCTGCTCAAGTCTGCATGATCCATGACTGTGGACACACTTCAGAAGCAGCCTGAGGGACTTCCGTGTACTTCATAGAAAGTGAAAAACATCATGTTTCCAAAGGTAGCGAAAAGGAACATTTCCATCCAAAACAGTTCTGGCATGAAGTCTTACTGATGACAAGCAGAGAGGCAATGGGTTATGTACTCAAAAGCCCAGGATTCTCAAACTCTTCTAGACTAATTTTCAGACAGAGTGGGTCCTACTCAATAGAAGACTGAAAAGATCTGGCTAGAAATCTGGTACACTCCGAAGAAGCAGCAAAACACCGGGAAACATTCTATAGGTAGAAACGGCCTGAGATGAGATTAAGGATAAAGGCCCTTGGAGATTGACCCAAGTCTTTATTGACAAAATGTTTCCAAAAACATATTGTCACGTTGAACATCTTTGCGACCCAATATCTATCCCTGTATGGCACTTCAAATCTTTTGCATGTGTTAAACTATGGAAACTTCTTTAAAACCGTGAAACAGATGGCCGAGTTTGATGCTGTACTCGTGAGCATTGAAAACACACCACTAATCTTGGAAAAGCAATTCAAAATGAGATCACACAGTTACTGGCAAGAAAAGTCAAACAAAATTATGGCAGATCGAAAGTAACCAAGATATTATTCTATTAGTCTCTGTTATTCTGGATGACACATCAGACATTAATGATACAGAACAAATGACTTTAATGGTGTGTTTTGTAACAGAACCTCATGGAAATGTCTCTGTAATAACTGTCCAAGAGCATTTTCTGGAATCTATTGAAACTGAGGATTCTACAAGAGGGACCAGCCAAATGTGCTTCTTTAAAGCTGGAAGATGGGAATTGTGACAGCTGACATGAAAGGTCAGAACTACAATAATGGGGGGGAGTAGTGGAACACACAGGTCCAAAAGTTAAACTATCAAGTTTTATTCATCCAATCAGTTCTCATTCACTGAACTTGAGCAGCCATGATGCTGCATCAGCTGGATTTTTAAATGTAATTCAAAGCATCTGTCCATTTTTCTCTGCTTTGAATCATCAAAGGAAAATTTTGGATAGAGCTGGGAAGAGTCACCTTGACACTGAAACCATTGAATGTCTTGCGATGGGACAGGCAAGTGGATGCAATAAAATCTGTGCGATACCAAATTGAAAAAAAATGGATGGTATCATAGCTGCTACTTTTGGGGCTACTGCTTTTATTAGGAACTATCTGTGGGAGAACAGGGACAGAGAGAAATGCAATCACATTTCTGGGTAGCTGAGTGATGTTGCACAAGACCCCGGGTGAAATAAAAGCTTTTTAAACATGAGATGTCAATGAGTTGGCCTTGATATACTTGTAGAATGGAACAATTGGACAAACAAAGTCAGACCGAGCATCTTATTGGTTAAATGAAAGATTTCTTCTAAAGAGTGCTGAAAAGTTGGCATATAAAAGCTCATATACCTTATATCCTCATTTTTTTCAAGAATGCTAGAGTTGCCAATGAAAAGAGTTGACTATAAGACACTGGACAATCCTGTAAAGGACATCAAACTATAATTTCAAATTCCAGCATCTTGCTCTGTAATCACTGCAGGGATCAGAAATGTCACCTCTATCCAAGTGATCTCACCACTGACTGATACAGGTTGATATCATATTGGAAATCCTATTTCTTTCTTCGTGATACATGATTCCAAGCACAGAATTTGTGTGTGTTCACTTTATTGGTGAGCAAATGCCAGGTCAGATCTCAATAAAATAACATTTGGATATTTTATGCCAGTGTGCATTATATTGTAGAATAGAATAGAGCTGGAAGGGACCTTGGAGGTCTTCTAGTCCAGCCTCCTGCTCAAGCAGGAGGACCTATACCATCTCAGACAGGTGATTGTCCAGTCTCTTTATATAATTATAATTATTTATATGACTACTGTATATTTGCCATTGTCAAGCTCTTTCACCCAAGTGGAAAGATATCCTTTTGAAGCCTTCATAGTCCTTTCTTTGACATTTCCACCTTCAAACGTTTGACAAATTGGCTACTCAGTCATAATTTTTATTCATATGTCAGCTTAAAAACACCATTCCTAGCACTGATCTCTGGGGAATCTCACTGAGTAAACTCAGGTGAAAATCACCTATTATTCTTACTCTTTAACTGGTTATCAATCCAGGAGAGCTGCTGGCCCTCAATTCACAGCAAAGTATTTGGAGGAGAAATGAGAAAGCAGCATGAGACAGAGCCTACAATGGGAGCCGTCCATTGTCACAGACATAGTTTGACACACGGGGAAATGGTAGCTGGCTTGAGATGCTCTTGAGAGGAGTGAAAGTAGGAGGAAAGCAACTCTGGCAAAAGTCTTTTGAAAGGGTGGGAGAGTTGAGCAACCTACAATCTTGGCAGATGCTCTTATAGTAGAGCTTCCTCCTTCTCACTTGTGTCCATTTTTCAATCCTTTTTCTTTGACTCCAACCTATTCACATTCCGGGGTGGTGGTGGTTATGTGCATAGATGCTGCTGGCTCCTTCTTCCCCATCTTGCATTGCTAACACCCTTGGAGAAGTAGACAAGCAGGCTGAAGTAGCACAAGGTCTACTCCAGAAGCTGTAACTGGGAGATGGCCCCATTATTAGCATTGTTAGTTTCATATTCCATCAAGCCAGCTCCTTAAAGATTGACAAGATTACTTGCCCCCATAAGTTACTGCATGTACCCCAACTCTTGGAGAAGTAGACAAACAGGCTGAAGTAGCACAAGGTCTACTCCAGAAGCTGGAACTGGGAGATGGCCCCATTATTAGCATTGTTAGTTTCATATTCCATCAAGTCAGCTCCTTAAAGATTGACAAGATTACTTGCCCCCATAAGTTACTGCATGTACCCCAACTCTTGGAGAAGTAGACAAACAGGCTGAAGTAGCACAAGGTCTACTCCAGAAGCTGGAACTGGGAGATGGCCCCATTATTAGCATTGTTAGTTTCATATTCCATCAAGTCAGCTCCTTAAAGATTGACAAGATTACTTGCCCCCTGTAAGTTACTGCATGTACCCCAACTCATCCTCTAGAAAGCCAGTGGTTCCCATCCTTCTTCCCCCATTCAGCAGTCTAAGAAGGTTCTTGCCATACTAAACTCAGACAAAATCCGTGCCTCTGGGCTAGGAGCTCTGAATTGGCAGGACTAGTGCTCAGATTCATCTAGGAGGACCTTGGCTCAGATCCTGGGGGTGACAGTGCCCTTGGCATTTCTACATTCTGTGGTGAATGTCAGTATTTCAAAGTCAAAGATTACACTTTGAAACAATTTGGTCATTACACATCTGGGTTTCCCTGGCAGTGTATTGTTGCACAAAACTCAGATTTTTACATCTATATACATATAAGCAAGATTGTTTCTCCTCATTTCTAAAAAAAAAAAAATCAAGAAGGTTGTTTTTCACTGGCTTGATTGATATGGAAGGATTCACATATTCTGCTGTTTGCTTCATCATAGGGCTCACCAAACACGTTATGCTCAAATCATAGTTTATACCCAGTACAGGCTGGGTTTACACTACAAACCAAATCACAGCGTAGAAAAACTGTGACATAGCACAATGTGCAGATCAGGTTGATTTATTGACCTCCATTATGCACAGCAAAGAAAATGCAGTTCTGGCTAGACACCACTACATGTGTAGTCAGCCCTTGATGTCAAGATCACCATCAGAGATTAGCCATTAGCAAGCAGAGTTTCACACGCTATGGCTTTCGTAAGTGGAGTCAGATCATTCTTCAGCTATCAGTCATTGAGTGTGGATTAATCCTGGCCATGCATGTCTGAATCAGCCCTGTCTGGGGCAAGCATATGGATGAATCAGCTCAATATCTTTTGGACCAATACAGTTATTGATGTATCCATGTGCTCCATATTGGATTGGTTGGAGCTGGCAGCATCCAAATTGAAATAAATAAAACATATTGACAGAGGCAGAAATACTGCAGGTTTTTCCCTCTTCAGGAAAAACAGCCTCTGACCTTACAAGCTACTGTTAAGTTCTATCCTGAATTCTCAGAACAGCCTGACAGTGATTTTTGTATGGGGCGATCAGTTGATAAATTGTATATTTCAGGTCCTACTTCGAACATTTTCCAGGGAGTTAAAAGTTCCACTTGTCCTGCGAAGTGGTAACCTAGACTTGAAGATGTGGGCTTGTCTCTTCCTAAAGCTGGTTGAAACAATCAACAGGTGGATGAGATGACCTCGTCTGCTCGGCAGGACTAGCTGGGAAGAAGGCCATGAAAGGATTAACCCACCCTTGATTCTGGTGGGGGGGGTGTGTGTGTCAGGCAAGTGTGACAGCGTTGAGACGAATCACCTTAACGAATGAATTATGTTCTGGATCGCCTGGTAGGAAGCTAAATTGGAAAGCACTTAAAGGGGGATCAAGGCAGGTTAGGTGAAATTCTTAATAGATTTAAATACGTAGGTCATGTTTCGACAGATACCTAGGCTTCTAAAGGCTGGATCTCAGCTACAGTTCTTTCTTGTCATGGTTTCCCCCCCCCTTTCTCTGCTCTCTTGGGTTTGTTCCCCGTCCCCCCCCCCGCCGCCGCCGCCGCCGATTCTTTGATGAAGACTTCGCCATAAAGGGGCACCGACGGGGTGCTATTGGAATCCTCTTGCGTTTTCCTCAGACCCCGACTTTTGAAAACTTTAAAAAGTTAACTTCTTAGCAAGGAGGCGAAGTAAAGAGCGCCCGCTTCTCTAGAGCACTGGAGCCTTTTCGACAAGGGCTCGCTCGAGTCCCCCCTCCTTCCCTTGCCTTCTGCAGGAATGTAGCCCGAGGACAGCTCAACGCTCTCCCGGCGTCGGCTCCCATCCGAACAGGAGCGTCTTGGCGTTTACCTTAAGGTCCTCGCGGGCCCCGGGACGGGGCGGAGAGAGGGGAGCCAAGCTGTGGGAGATGGCGTTTTTTTCTGAACCCGGAGGGCTTTTCCCGGAAGCTGAGCGACAGAAGGGAGAGGCGTCCGGGGTGATGAAAGACCACCTCAGAGGTCCTTTCAGGAGCCCCTCGCCGGGGGTTTTAGGGCACGTGGAGAGGGTTTAGCTTGGCGACATGCGTGCACGCACGGGGCAGGCGCGCGCTCTTAGAGTCTTAAGAGGGTCTCTGTCCTCACCACCGCACAGCTGTCCTAACGCTCGACAGCCCGTAGTGCTAGGGAGGCTGATGTTGAAGCCGAAGCCCTTCGGAGTCGGCAAGTGTCTCCCTTTTGAAGCTGGCCCCTCGGCTTTTCATTCCAGGCGCGCTTGAAGCTGGGGAGGAGATGGCGAAGTTGGAAACAGCTTCTGGTTCCCCGGGGCTTCTGAGACACACACACACACACACCCCACTCTCGCCTCAAGAACCCCCAGCTCTCTAGAAGCTCTACTTGACCCCCGGCACGCGCGCGCACACACACAAACCTGCGCGCACACACACACACACAAACCTACGCGCCCAGCCCTCTCCTAAGGGGGCCCCCGGGGTCTTCAAAACGTCCGCTTCCCCGAGCGCCGCGCCTGGAACTTCCAGAGAGATTGGGACCTCTGGTCTCCGGTTTCCGGGCCCCCCTCTCCCGCTTCCCAGCTACTCACCACCAGAGTCCGATGATGTTGGCTGGGCAGAGCAAGATGAAGAAGAGCCCCAGTTGGGACAACATGCTGGCGGCGAAGAAACAGCCCGGCGGTTGGAGCGCCGGCCTCCTTCTCCAGCGCGGCGCCCCGGGCGCCCCGGAAGGCGCAGAGAGAAAGCACGCAGAGCGAAGCCGGCTTCACTGGGCTGGGCGAGCCGTTGCTCGCAAGCCCCGTCCCAAGCGGAGGAGGAGAGCCAGGGAGGGAGGGACGGCCGGCGAGGCTGCTTTCCCTTGACAGGCAAAGCGGAGCGCGGAGCGCGGGGAGGGGACGGCGAAAGGCAGGGAGTGGGAGGGGAGGGGGCTGAGCGAGGGCCAAGCGGCGCATTCCGATCCGAGCGCACCGTGATCGCCATCTCCCGCCGGCCCGGGCAGGGGGAGCCGGCGCGGATTCTCTCCAAGGAGAGGCCCGCCTGGAGAAAAGGCAGAAGTTGAGTTCCCACCATCCCCAGACCCGATCGCCCCAAACTTGACTTCGCCGGCGTAAACGACTCGCCTTACGTCGCCAGCCCTACCTCGATTCCCAACCGGATTTGTTGGCTTCTTCCCGCTCGGCAGGCGGTTTCCATCAACGGGACAGCTTCTGGAGCCTCTTCCTTTCAGCACCGGGGCGTGGGACTCTTCCTAGTCGGACCCCCAAGGTCACCAACATCATTCTTCGTGCAGAGGCTGGAATAGTCCTCTCCCCCCCCCCCACCTTTTAACCGGGTTTCATCTCTGTTCACAAAGGCCGCCTACTTTTTTTCTTTCTTTGTGGAAGCTCCATTTTGAGTCCCCATTGCCCCAGGGCTTATCTTTAGCCTCGTCTCCCTTCGTCTTATTGAAAGCTCTGGATTCCGCCGAGGCGCTCTTAGCTATCTGTCTTTAGAGGGGCAGATGGGATGCGAAGCCTGCGCGCGCGCGCCCTCATAAATAATATGGGTAATTCTCTCCCCCCCACCCCCACACACACCCCCAAAAAAAATCATAGGCGTTTTTCATCGAGAGTTTCCATCACGTACTCTTGGGACAATGTTAACCTCTTCGCTCAGTTCAAGCTATATAAAATGCAGTGCTTAATAGCAGGCGAGTGCTTAGGAATGCGCAGAACCAATGTCTACTATTTTGTAGCCCACAAGCCCATCGCCATAGCCAGCACTCAGATACTGCTCTGAAAGAACTGCGCCCTGGGCAAGGTCGAATTTTTAGCCGCCCTCCGGCTCTGCCGTTCTTCACGCTTTTCAGTCTGTTTAACTACACTCCATTTCCTTGGAACAGCGTCCCTCGTGGCGAATATAGACGGACTGGAGAAAGTTGGTGGGTAACTAGCCATTCTAGTTGGGACTGCTAGTATTTGAAGTTCAGCGTGATGAATTCTAATACCCCCTATATTCCATTTCCCCCCCACACACACCCCCACCTTATCTAATGTACAGCTAGCCTCATGGTCAAGGGAGTGTCAAGACAATACAAGTGTTTCTGTGGAATATTCAGCCTATTTCTGTCCGGGTGCCAAACTGACTTGGAAGACTGGTTCGTGCCAGTAGTGGGTGGGGCTGCGTGCACACCCAGAGCCACTCTCATGCACACTCCATTCACACACACACAATTTGTCATTCGAGCACACACACACACACACACCTAAACAGCACACACACATTCCACTTACAATCCCTCCTCCCCTCTCCTACATAGATATTAGTCACACATACTGTACAGGCAGCGTTCACACAACACAGTCAGTTAAAGGTTTAGTCATTCCATTGGCTTGATACTGTTTTTATGCTATTTGTTTTTATTTTGTTAACATATTATCCAAATCAAGTTCTTACTGTTAATATATTGCTCATGGTATTGTGTGAGCCCAGGAAAAATGGACTAATTCAGTACCTAGGCAGGGTATGCTGTGGGAATCATAGTCCAGATCTTCACAGAATCTCAGAGTGTCTTGCATTATAAAGCAAACAGTGAGCTGATACAGAAGGTTAGCTATGAGCCAACTGGTTGTTCCCTTGCAAACCACTTACTCAAGTGCCAGCTTCTGCCTTGTGTTATAGATCAAAGAGCATTTGTCTACATTAATTGCTGCTGTATAAATAACCTATATAAATACTAGAGTTAGTGCTGTAACAATAGTAAACCCCCCCCCCCAGATTATCACTAGCCATTTTTAAGAGGGAAAAATATATATTTCTGTACGTTCTATCCTAATATGGTACTGTTAGCACAGCTGGCATTAATTCAGATTCAGGAAAGTTCACCTAAATGCTGTATTTGGGGGGGGTAATTTATCAGATGCTTATTTTAAAATGGCCATTTGCCCACATAAGGTGACAGTCCTGTCCATCCTTGCCTTACTGACCAGTAGGTAGAGCTTTCTCCACGGATAACTGGGACAGGCTTCATTGCAGGACTTACACAGGCTTCTTAGTTAAGCGTTATTGGATGAAAACTCAGGCTGAATGCTTTGCTCCCCAAATATCACTTTTGTAGTCCTGGAGCTTCCTGAATTCACACGTGACCCATGGCTTCCCACCATTGGGAGAGGAGGAAGATGCACAGACGTTGTGGCTGTGTTCCCCTAGTTCTAACCTGCTTTTAAAAAAGAGGTTCCCCCAGTTCCAAGATAAGAAAATCTCTACCCAGCTTGATACAGCCACGCTGTGTATCGGTGACCACCCGTAGCAGCCCTTGCCCACGCAAAAAATGTTAAGTGTGGCTCCCCTTGACAAATGCTGCCTATCCCAGCTACAGAAGAAACCCGAGCACAGAAAGTCTTTCCCCATGATCTCCATGAATAGAAGAGCCCCTCAGGTGCCTATTTCACGGGACCAGGAGGCAAAAGGCTCAATTTAAAGTCACCCCATTTGCCTAAATCTGTTTTGGTAGACAAGCTGGCGGGGGAACCGAAGTGCTGCAAATCCAAGTCCAGCGTAATCTCAGTTGGTAAGCATGCATATGCTCGTCAATCAAGCCAACTGCATTTGTCTCCTTTGAAGCTGCCCCGCCTCGTTTGGCATAAAAAGCAACGAGAACTAAGTACACCCACAAGAGTCACGTGTAAGAAATCGTGTTTGGTGAGGGGGAAAAAAATCGCATCCAGAGGAAGGCTGGCTTTTTTGGGGGGGGGTGGCGTTTTATGTCTTCTGTTTTTAATACTCCAACAGTTTCTATAAACAAGGGCATTTTTCAAAATACTTTCCTATGGAGACCACTCCACTTGCCCAAATCCACCCGCTCCACCCCGCTCTTCTTTTGCCTTTCTGGGCTTCCCCAATACGAATCTTGTGAGCATAGGCCCAACATTATCCTCCCCATCCCCCAACAAACAGAGGGTGAAGCTTTAAGGAATTCCCGCCCCGCGTGGAGGAGAGCAGCTTCATGCTCTTGATGGATATATGCCACCCGATCCTCTTCGACTCCTATCGACACACAGATTTTCTCCGTGACGATCTCTCCCTAGCCTGCTATGTCTGACCTTGCTCTCGGGAGCAAGAGGGTTCGCAGCTATAAGCGCAGCCCTTCAAACGGCGCCCGCAGGGAGTCTCCCCCGGCCTCGCTCTCCTCCCGCGCAGAGACAAGAGAGCGAGCGAGAGAGAGAGACAGAGAGCGAGTGACAGAGGCAGAGATTCCCCAGAGCCCGGCCCGAGGAGCGATCGCCAGTTCCCACCCCCGCACCAGCTTACCACGCCCCCTCTCCTTTGAGCAGAGGGGGCCACGGGGCAGGTGAAGCCCCTTTATCTGATTTTCTAACCGCCCAAAAATCCCTTTGATTTCCCTCGTCCCGGGGAGTTCAAAGCGGGAAGAAAACGAAACTCTGTTTGCCGCGGCAGCAGGTGCGTCCGATGGCAAACCCCCATTCATCATCGCGGCTGGCTGTGTCGGGCTGCTGGAGGGGGGACGTGGCCGGCCAGCTGAGCGGCCGCCGCGGAACGAAACTCTCCCTTTGCTGCCGGCCAGGCGCGCCGCCGCACTCGCGAGCCCTGGGGGCTGAGGCCCGCTGACCGCCCCACTCCACCCCTCCCTCTCCTGCCAATGGCCCGAGGACCTCCTCGGCCTGCATTTGGAAAGCCCGGTCCTTTCCCTTGCCTCTCTGCATGCGCGTGCGCGCGTGCTCCTTTTACTGGGCCCGTTGCCTCGTGCAGAATCCATCCGTGGTCCCTACATCGCACGGGGAGATCGTTCTCGTCCCGTTGACTAGACAGAAGCGAGAACATACTGAACCGGAGAACTCGTGTGGACGGGGGGGGGGGCGGTTTGTCCAAGGACACCGGAGCAAGAGGCGTCTGCTGCTGTCGATCCAGGCAAAGAGGCAACAACGTTTTGGGAACAAACCGACGTAGAACCGACAACACCCCAGAGACTGGCCTGCAGACCCCCCGAGGAGGAGGGGGTGGCGCTTTAAAACAGAAGGGCGTGGCCCCCCAACAGCTCTTTGTGATCTATGCGGGGACTGATTCGTTTCAGAGAACCCTACCCATACATACATAGAGGGTGAGCAGTGCTCCAGCTAATGGAAGATCTAGGTGGTGCTTGTGTAGTCTTAAAATAGGAGGCATAGTTTACAAACCATGCATACGATTCCCTGGTAGAAATCCATCTTTGCCCTGTATCTCCTTGCCCTTGGCTGTTAAGGGAATCTTATCTACAGAAGGAAACTGTTGACACCAACAACCCCTGGACCCTGGATGGATTGTTGCTCTGTTGTCTGTAAAACGGGCAACAGATTTGCCAGGCTGCATTAAAGACAGCCACTTAGCCCAGCATCCCTTCCCCCCCCAATAGAACCCTTCCAGGTGCCAATTAGTAAAAGCCCCTCTCTCATTTCTCTCAACCAGTTAATGATACTGCCTCTGTACGTGGAAGTCCCATTATGCACCGACAGAAAAACTTCCATAAAATTGTGTGCTTGGGTAGACTCCAGGTTCTCAGGCTCCATTTTCATGCTTCAAAGCAGAACCCAAGATCCACCAATAGGAACTGTGTGCAAAACAAAGACTTGGGAATAAGCCAGCCACTTTCTCCAAGTATTATTACAGTCAAAAATTTCATAGCAAAGATCACTGAAAATATGCTGTAAGATGTTCAGAGTCACTGGATATGAGATGGGAGGCAAACAAGAT